CTGGTTCCGTTTTCTTGTCCCGCCGGCGCGTGTCCCATTTTTCGACTTTTATTATTTGGACCCATTTGGTCCCTTGCAACATTCCGGATGATGTCCCATTTTTATTTTTGGGGGCCCCCTTGCCCTTCGTGGTCCCATCATCTTTACATGTATGCCGATTTTTCTAGGTCGTGAGATCTCATCTCATAATTGCCGTTTACCGTCTCCACTTGCCCCATGCCGAAATTGCTCCTTTCTAGCCTTTTGGGCTCGTCGTGGCTCATTTTCTCTTAGCCTAGGCACCCCCATGCAGTCCGTTATTTCGCGGACTGCAATCATGGCTATTTTCCTAGTCCCACAGCCCCACAACTTGCCCCATGCTAAAAGAAAATGAAGCGTTAGATTTTTAAGTGCATCCGGAGTCGATATTGGTTCCAGATGCACAAAAAACATGTGTTTCTCCTCCCCCAAGTAATCCGTTATTTTTCGGCTGCATGGGGCTTTGATTTTCTTTGTTTTTCTCTATAAAAATCAAAGAAAAACAAAGTTCATTGCAACCGCCATATTCCAGAATGAATCTGGTCATGGATGTATCTCCCCAAGTGGCCGTTGTTTACCGTTAAGGCATTTTTCTCTTTTCTTTTCTTTTCTTTTTCCTCCTTTCTTGGACAGTAGGGACCTGCCAGTCCCTACTTGTGGCAGTCCCTACTGACGGCCAACTCACTCAACCCCTCTAACTCTTTTTGTCTCATTCTCCCACATTTTTTTTTCTTTTCTTTCTTTTTCCTAGCATGTCAAGTGCCAAGTGGCCGTTAAGGCCCTTTTCTAGCCCCTTCCTCTTAGTTTTGGTCCTTCCTATGTCCAAGGTGCAGTCCATTATATCTCGGACTGCAATGGTGGCCTTCCCATGCCCATGGGAGCTTCCTTTTCCCTCTATCTTTCTCCCACATTGGCCCCTCCTACTCCGATTTTTTCCCGGAGGTCTATTTTTCGTATGAGGTCTTTTTTTACTCTATTTTTTTTAGGGAGGCTGATCCGAGATTTTTCGGATTGCTCCCATGCCTCCTACTTCGAGTTTTTTTACTTTTTCTTTTCTTTTCGGCCTTCCCGTTTGCTACCGCTAGTGCTTGCACTAGTGGTGCCAATATTCTTGGTCGTCAAGATCTTGATCTTGACTGTGCACCTTGTCTTTGTTATTTTCCCTCACGTGGTGCCGCCGTTTCTTCTTGGGACTTTCACATGTCCCCGCCATTAGTCCCGTCGGCGATTCCCGACACTTAGTCCCACCGGCGGTCCCCGACACTTGGTCCCACCGGCGGTCCCCGGTACTTAGTCCCGCCGGTGGTCCTTGACACATTTTGCCCCGAGTGCCATTATTTTTACTTAGTCCCACGTGCCCCCGGGTGCCTTTACCGAAGGTGTCCCACGTTCCTTGGGCGCTTTGCCGCCCCAAGGTGACCCTTCTTTCTTGCGTCCTGCGCGTGCCTGTTCCTTTGGTTGTGGGCCTCCAGCCCGAGGCTCCCGTAGGTGGCCCCCAAGTTGGGCCCTCGTTCTCCAGTTTCCCACAGCCTCCGGGGCCGTCCATTTCTCGACTTCCTCATTCTCTTGTCGCTGCTGTGCCGCGTTTGCTGGTTCAAGGGTCCTTTGACCTTAGTCTTGTTGACCTCCAACGACCCTCCCTCATGCTATGTTCTATGTGCCCCTGTCCTTGCACTTATTCTCTTGCCGTCACTCGTTTTCTCCTCCTGTGGTCCTCACCCCAAGGTATCACTCCCTCCTGTGGCCTAATCCTTTGTCTTTTCTCTCTCTTGCCTCCTCACTCCAGATTTCTCTATTGTGCACAATTCGTCTATATCCAGTCTCTTGAGTGATGGGAAGTTATTAGGGACTCACCAGTCCCGACAACGGATCGTAATCCTTTCGATGTGGACTATGCATGAAATTATCGAAACAACAATAGCGGCAAGACGTGTGCGAACACAACGACAACCCCGGTACCCCGGACCGCCCTGGAATAAGGGCAGAAGATGGGAAGTGTCCCTTCTGTCGAATGCCAACTTTCGGGGATTCGACGTGGAATGGCGGGCCGTGACTTTGGGGAGAGACAGGGCCTTTATGTTGGTAGAATGTCGGTGGACGTGGATGAGATTCAACCGAGGACCTGGGGATGATTTGTTTTCCAATTTAGAAGTTACCGGGATCATATATCTACCCGAGATCGACTGACACTCGCTGGGGGTGGGAATAGCACAAGGTCACGAACTGACACCGGTCTTTCGAAGGACCGTTCGGACGTTGACTCGAATAGGTCAATCGATCAGGGGTAGGAGGAACGTGGACTTACTCACCAGGGTGGAAATGGGGTGCTGGAGGGAATTCAGGGCACCGACAACCCCGTTGAGGTGTCGGGTCCCCCGATTCATGATAGACCTCATCTTCGGGAGCCTCACAAGGGCACAGGATCTGGCAGACTCGACAATAATCTGGGTAGACCACTTCCCCTATCAGACCATCGGGATGTTCTATGACGTTTCTGTGGAGCGTGGACCGTTTTGGGGAAACCCGGCCCATGAGTTGCTAAAAGTTATCAACATCCTGGTATTTGGGTTGCCGCGGCTAGCCTGGGCGGAATACGAACACATTATCCGGCGGGAAATCGAAATAGGAGAGAGTTATCTAGCGGGGGTGGCTCAATTGTTGGAAGAGCCTAACGAACCGGAAGGGCCGCGAGGACGAGAGCGGGACTAGCACCCGGAGGCAGACCAATAAGACAAATCAAGTATAGTCTGCTACGTACAAGGGCTCGCCGATGGGAATTGGGAAGGACCTTCGGACCGGACGATAAAAAATCGCTACAGAATAAAGGGGGAAGGGTAGATTCTTAATGATTGTCGTGAACCCGGAGGATAAAAAGAGGAGTACTGCTCGGGAAACTTTTCCTAACAGGATGCCCAACCAGGACTCCTACGCGTCGGCCGACAAAATAGGGGTACTCTAAAAGAGCCTGCTATAGATGGAACTAAGTCATGTCCCTTAGTTCGATAAGGCGGCAGGGCCGGTCGCGGCTCCGTCTTAGGGAAGCAATCAGGAGACGGAAATGGGGAGAAGGCTACTATCCAAATAAAGATAAACCGACAAAACTGGAACCTATGAAACCTAAAATGCCTCGCGCTTCGTGTATCCTGGGAAATCCTCTGGTTTATGCAGAACTAGGCAAAATGGCAACGGGGGATGAAACAGATAATCGTAGGAGCGAGGGAGGATCAGGCTTAGGAGGCAGCGCCATGCATAGCGAGGAGGGTCAGAAAGACAGAGAATCGATAAATCCGGATTGTACCAAGGGGAACCGGAAGGAAATCTCCTCAGGGGAAAGCTTGGGGAAAGTCGGGGGAAGCAAGCAAGGGACCCAGGAGACCAGGGAGGGTAGGAACAAGGACAGGACAAACCCCCAGAATTAAGAGGGAGTTGTGTCCAAGAAATTGAGAGTCACGGATGCGAGGCGTAAGCTAGCGGAAATAGAAAAGAGGACCGCGGAGTACAAGGCGAGGTTGATTGAGGAGATGATGACGGGGAGCGAGGAAGACCCCCTGCGGGAAGAACCACGGGACGAATGGAAAACCAGCCGAGGCGGAATGGGGCAAGGGGATAAGGGTAGTGACCGTGGAGAAACACCAAGCAAGAGGAGGAAGGAGAGAGAGAGTTCCCCGGGGATGGAAGCAGAGAAAGTTACGAACCCACCAACCATAGATAGCAGGGCTAGCCGTCTGCCGACCACACCGGCGGTAACGCGAGGATGTGAAGGACTCTGGAGCCTTAGGGAAAGGGTGTTGGGATGGTTCGACCCGGAAGGAACTGCAAAGACCAAGGAGGGTCAGAAGACCGACAAGGAAGGGCAGGATACCAGTACGGCGAGCGATGAAAGTAACTCCGAAGGCGGCCTCAGGAAGATAGTGTCGTCCCTCGCACGAGCACTGAACAAAAACCAGGGCTACCTCGCAGACGCTAAAAAAAAGTTGACATTTGATGGGGCGAACATCACGGAGTTCCTAATAGATTACGAAAACTTGGCTGCGTTGTTGAAATGGACCGAAGAAGAAAAGACGGACCACCTGGGGCAGCATGTGTCATTGAGCCTGGGGTGGGACATAATGGTCATCGTAGCCGCGAGTCAATCCTGGAAGGAAACCCGGGACTTAATGATGAGAAAATACCTGGCAGCGGAGAAGATGGCACCGGAGGCCGACTTAGCGGCAGTTCAGAGAAAGAACTTTGCAACGTACAATGACTCCTACGAGAGTTTACCTTAGTCGCACTAAGGATCCCCGGGGTTACGGACCGGATAATGAGCAAATACTTCCTCAGGCAATTCTCCGAGTTCGACAAGGACAAGATCCTGTAAACACCAGGGATGTTGATTTTAGTACGGTAATGGAACTGACCGAGAAGACAGTAGTGACCGAGACATTGGCCTTGCTCAAGGAAGGGGAAGTCATAGATCTGACTGGTAGGACAGGCGACAAGGTAAAGAAGGGGATTGAAAGTCTACATGAACGGGTGCACGGAGTCGACAACAAGATTGAAAGGGTGGAGAATGCGCTACTGGTTATGCAGGCGCAAGTATCCCGACCCGCCCTCCCTCCCCAAGAAGTCGTAGTTCCGCCAGGAGTAGCCAATCGAGGATTCAGACGGAGAGATCCCGCCAATGAGCAATGCAAGTACTGCACCGCGGTAGGACATTTTGTGCACGCATGTCCAAAACTCTACCATGATATATTAGAAAGGAGATGTACCAGGTCATTAAAGGGAGAGATATTCGGACCGCAGGGAGAACGGGTGAATTGAAACTCCCCCTGGGGGATGCGGCGACCCATTATCATGCTCAATGGGCTAGAGATAGCGGCAGTAGAGGCTGGGTCGGTGGTCGATATCATATAGGATCAACTTGGGGGCCGCGGGCCGCAGGTCAACTTCATTCTAGAAAACGATGGACGTGATAGGGTAAACGCGATTACTCGGCTAAGGACGGCTGGGAGAAGGATTATCCGTGACACCGTGATGGAGGAGGTTGCTGGAAGCTCCGTACCCCAGGTAGAGCCCGAGGCCGGGGAACTGGAGAAAGTCTATGGGAAGCCTAGGGATGAGGAACCTACAGACAAAGTTACCGCTGCTAAAAAGAAGTTTAGGTGCCAAATCCCGATCTTAGCCATGCCTGAGATCGATGACACCCTTAGCAAATTACTAGAAATCGTGGTGTCGGTGTCGTTTCAGACCATGCTGCAGGTCAGCCCTAGGTTGCTCAAAGGGCTTAGACAACTGTTGACTCGGCGGTGAATAGAGATAGACGAAAACCCCGAATCACCGGAAGAGGAAAGGGAGGAGGAAGCTCCGCAAGAAGTCGCTAGCCTTCAAAGGAGTCGCGGGGATTTGGAGGATCTCGAGAAAGCCTTTGCGGACATCCGCCTGAGCTTGCCAGACCGAGAAGGTGGCGAGGTCATGAGGGCACCTCCCGGAACAAAGCTCAGCTTCCATGCGCTACCCGTAGGAAAGTTAAAAATCCAGATCAGGACTCATCATACCGACGCATTAGTAGACGGGGGAGCGAAACTCACTCTCATAAGGAGAGATTTCAGAACAATCATGGGCTGTACGGTAAATAAGGAAGTAACAGGGAGCATCAAGGGAGCCGGTGGGGAAATTCCGTTCGCTGGGTATGTCACGAAATGCGCAGTCAAAGCAGGAATCAGGGAGTCGATCTGGTCGTTTCAACGGATGACAGTAATGGAGGAAATGGACCACGACATAATCCTCGGGAGACCATGGTGCGCAAACGTAGAAATGATAGGCATGCACTTGCACGATGGCACGTACATGGTAGACATAGAGGACCCAGTGACCGGTCGGGGCAAGCTCCTCCGACTCCTTGGGACAGGAGGAGACCCTTCGAAGGGGAAGTTAGCAACATGGTCACCATCATTTGAAGATAGCGCGCGGAAGGGGGGTTTTGCGCGGATGGAGGGCATGAGAAAAATGGTAGAAATTATGATCGTGGAAGCATTCAATAAGAAGGAATGGATCAAGATGGGCCTGCCCCAGAAGAAAAGAAGGCAGGAGGACGAAGTCTTAGGTGTTATGGTGGCAGAAAAAGAATCAGAAGTCGAACTCAGAGTCAGCCTGCCCAAGCGGAAAGAAGTGCGCATGGACGTGTCAGAAGTCGCACTCGAGATTCCCGATTTGTTACAGCTCATCAAGGCCATCAGATACCACTACGTAGGAGTGGACTCGGCGGCATTGGCCAAATTCGAGGGAGAAGTGCGAAAGGGATATTGTCTGAATGGAAAATTAGTCAGTATTCAACCATGAAGCGTAGAGGTGACGAGTGTAATCCCGATCGCTCATTTTTTAGGAGAAAGATCCCGGAAGGAAGTGTTCGAAAGTACAAGCCGGTAGGGAAGAAAGCAAAATCGGTCTCGATCCTGCTAGAGACATCAACGAAAGAGGCTATGGAGAAGGAGGAGGAAGTCCTCCGAGTGATCCGAGAAAGGCGAGCGACGGAGGAACATCAGATACCAAATGAGGTGGCCGATACAATGAAGATAGGGGTAGAGGGATTCTTAACGGAAGAAGAAACCCTGTTGATCAAAAGGACGTGCCAGAAGTTTCATCTGGCATTTGCCTTTAGTGATCACCAAAAGGGGCGGTTATACGCAAAGCTAATTCCCCCGGTTAGGATCCACACGGTGGAGCATGAGTGCTGGAACGACAATGGGCCATCCTATGAATTTGGGATAGCAGGGGAGGTAATAGATCTTCTACGAGCAAAGATTGACTCCTTCGTCGCAGAACCTACGGCGTCGCCATACGCGAACCGGTGGTTCGTCTTTCGAAAACCCAGCAAGATGCTAAGATGGATTCAAGATCTGCAGAAGTTGAATGTAGTAACCATCCAGGATGCTGGCTCGCTACCTCAGGCTGATTAATTAGTAGAGTCGCACGCCGGCCGAAGCATTTACCCCCTGATAGATTTATACTCAAGATACGACCAGCTTCCATTGGATGTTCGGGACAGACAGTACACCGCAATGCACACCCCCGTAGGACAGTTGCAGATGCAGGTGACCCCTATGGGCTTTACGAACGCGGTAGCCAAAGCACAAAGAAGAATGCTCGTCGTAGTCGAAGACATGTTCCCAGAGAAGTGTGAGCCCTACATCGATGACAACCCGATCAAAGGACGAGACGGAAGTCCAGCCGGGAATCCGAAGATTTGTATGGGACCATCTACAGGACATCAAGGACTTACTCCACCGGTTCCTAGTATACAATATTATGGCTAGCGGACCTAAGAGTATTCTAGCAGTACCGGAAGTAACCATACTAGGATTTCGCTGTGCGCATATGGCAGGAAGCCAAATCCGGCAAAGACTGGCAAAATATCACAGTGGTCAACGCCCCTGCACACGACAACGGAGGTAAGAGCATTCTTAGGCGTGGTCGGCTTTTGGAGGATTTTCATTAAAAGCTTTGCCAAGATTGTTGAGCCTATCTGGGCCATGATCAGAGAAGAAGGGACTATGGATTGGACGGAGGAGCGAGAAGGAGTCGTCCAAACCCTCAAGGACATATTGACATTTGAGCAAGTCGCCTTGTCCGCACCCTGCTTTAATGACGAAGTGCGACGACCATTCATCCTAGAAACGGATGGAGGCCCCTTGGTCGTAAGAGGTGTACTGATTCAAAGGGATGAGGAAGGAAAATAGAGGCCAAATAGGTTCGAATGTAGAACCCTGAACTCCGCGGAACGGCGGTACTCACAGTTCAAAAAGGAGGTCATAGCCATCTTGCATTGCCTCAAGACCTTTTAGGCCTATCTATTTGGGAGGTGGTTCATCCTAAGGATCGATCCGACGAATGGTGCAGGGGCCTTAAATAATTACAGGCCTATAGATCCGACGGTGGGGAGATGGGTAGGATTTATCTGGCAGTTCGATTATAAGATCGAACGGATTGCTAGAATTAGAAACAAGGTCGATGGGTTGAGTCGGGTCTTCATCACTCCCGAAGGGGTGGAGGATGCGGAGCCCATAGAAGTATTTCTCGAATACGAAGGAGGAACTTTTATGGTGGATAACGAAATGATGGACGAAGAATGCGCGTCGGGAGAACTGTTGATCCGGACTTTGGAGAAGGGGGCACCTGCCGTAGTAGCAGAACTCAGAGAAGGACCGGTCACCACTCGAGGTCGCAAAGAGGAGAAAGATTCATGGGGAGCGATAGTAGGACCGAAGGAGGAACTAATAACAATGGCGGTTGAGGGAGGCCGGGAAGCCGTGATGAGTTTAGTGAAATCTTGGGAAAGGAAAGAGTTGAGGTGGATGGTAATCCAGATGCAGGAAAGAAAGGATGAGGACCAGAAAGGGAAGGAGTTTTTCTATGCCCAGATATACGAAGGGATCTTTCGGAAGATTGGGTTGTTGCTAGTAGGAAACAAACAACCCATGAAAGTCAGCATTAAAGCAAGGGAGGTGGCCGAGAGGTACGTCTTAAGGGGCGGCCATTTATTACGAAGAGAGGAAGGTGCTATGCCTAGAAGAGTTGTGTGCGGGAGATCTAGGCACGTGATCCAGACAATGCACGACGAACTAGCAGGAGGACATCGCTCGTCCAAAGGAACTCTTGCGAAGGTAACGCCTCTCTTTTATTGGCGAGGCATGACAGGCATGGTCGCCACGTACTGCCAGACCTGCCTTATCTTCCAGGAACGGAGCTCGGCACGCGTCTTCGAGCCGCTTAGAACAACGTGGGTGCTAGAGCCAGGACATCTGGTCCACCTTGACCTTGCGGTCATGCCTGTATCAACAGATGGGTACAAGTATATCCTAGATGCGTGAGACAACTTGAGTGGGTTCGTGGAGGCGATCACTCTCAAGAAAGAGACAAGGAGAAGTCTAGCGGACTGGATAGAAGACTTCTTCTTGAGGCATTCTTTCATCAGGAGGTTTATAGCGGACAATGGGACATAATTTGTGAACCAAGAAGTGTTGGGAATGCTGAAGAGGCTCTGCGTACTGATCAAACTCATCGAGCCATATTGCCCGGAGGCCAATGCGCCTGTGGAAAGAGGGCACCGAACCTTAAAGAACACGATTGCGAAGCTTGCAGTGGACCATCTGGGGAGCTGGCCTAGGTATCTTAAGCAGGCTGTCTTCTCAGAGAACATGACACCTAAGAGGACAACGGGATGTATCCCAGCAGAACTTTGGTACAAAAGAGAGATCGACTTTCCCGTGGAAGCCTTGATACCTACATGAAACAAGTTAGATGATGATCCGCGTATGACCACGGAAGAGTTAATTGAGGCAAGGTGTCAACAAGTCCTTAAGAACGAGGAGGTCATGGAAGACATTGCCAACCGGGTCCTAGACAGCAGAATGAGGGACAAAGCAAGGTGGGACCAGGTTAAGAATATCAGAAAGGAGCCACTTCAGGTGGGGGAGACGGTATTGTGAAGGAACTCGACACTAGAAATTACTTGGTCTAGACAGCAGGGGAGGAGGTTCAAAGGCCTCTACCGGGTCGCCAAGCGGGTGGGACTGAACACCTTTGAACTGGAAGATCTGGATGGAACTGGATTGAAAGGACCCTTCCCGGGGCAACGATTGGTCAAGTTTCTAAGTCGGGACCCAGCGCAACAATGGCTTCAGGAGGCCGAGGATAAGGAAACTGAGGGGCTACAAGCTAAGAACTGACAACGGCGTTGCCCACACTATGGTTTTGTCTTTGACTGCGTCCGTGGGACTGTTATTTTTTTGGGTTGGACAATGGTTTGGAATGACTGAAGTTGGAAGGCAGGATGACTTGGGATTTTGCGATAACGGGTTTTGTGTGACGACGGGAAAGATTGTCCGGAGCATTGTATCATAGTTTTTTATGGGGAAATAATGGAATCATCACAAATGGGGCATTTGCATGAGAGGAGAATGTATAATAGTGGCATGATGTGAAGGGTACTGGGAACATTCTGGGGGAAGGGAAGCTGCCTATCGGACTGGGGAAACGTGTGTATGAGGGGCTTGGCAGGTGTTGTTTTGTTATATAGGACCAAGGAGAAAAACACAAGAAAAAAAAAATGAAATTCGGCAACGAGAATGATAGGGGGACAATCAACCGACCTACCGGAGGGGAAGAAGCGGGACCAAGTTGAGGGAGGAGAACGACAAAGAGAAAATTGTACATAGGGTTCATGTCCAAATAAGTGGTAGGCAGGGATGCGAGAAAGCGCGTGTGTAGAGGGCCTTCGCCTCTCCGGAAAGGAGAAGGCATATATATCTCATCTGGGAGTGAGATCGAGGAGGAAAGGGCAAGTGTGGGAGAAGGGGGCAAAGCGGATATGGGAGACAAGGCTCAGGCCTCTGACGAGGAAGAAGCCGAGAGGTGCGAGCAACATGAGTCTTGGCATGGGGAAAGCGAGGGGAGACAAGACATGTGCGATAGACGTGAGGATGGGGAAGAAAGAAGGGAAAACCCGCATGAAGAGCGGAGCGGCCACGACAGTTGTCAGGGGAGGTATCCGGATTTTGAAGAGGGCTATGAAAGGGGGACAAAGATTCCCTATAGCTACGATCCAAAAAACTTGACGGGTGGGTATAGCCCCATACATACGGAAGAAGAGGAGGACGAGGAGGAGGAAGTACAGGAGGTCATCAAAATCAGCAGTGGCGATGAGAGGGATGAAATCTCGAGGCCTAGAGAAGAGAGGCGGCCCCTGATACATCACCCGCGTGAAGAGGCCTTCAGATGGGAGGATGAGTTTGGGTCAACGCCCAGCCATTGGTTTCAACAATGGCTCAGTGTGATCAAGCACGAGTGGATTATCAAGACCCGGGAACTTGCGAAGGCAGGGGTGGTGGCCACACCTTTGGATTTCTATAACGAGATGGAGTTACGAGAGATTGCAAGGAGAAGGAGAGAAATCATGGCCTCTGGCCTGGGGGTTAAAGAGCCCGCAGAAAGACAGGACGAGCAAGAGAGCGAGCGAGTTGAGGCACATGACAGCAATAGGGATTAGATGTTGATTAAGTGTTGGACAAGAAATTGCGATTTCTTTTTTTTGCACATATGGAATAACAGGGTTTGTATAGTATGAGTAAGCTTGTGAGGAATGCGGGATAAAAGGACGAGCTAAGACTGTGTCACGATGAGTTAGAAGATAACATTTTGAGGCTACTTTCTGGATGAGCTATCGTCGAAAGTGTGTAGACAAGACAATGGCACGGGGCATGGGATGAGACCAGTTGGGAAGGGTGTATTGTGAACTTTGGATGGAATGAGGATTATGCGTTTGACATGAGACGTTGTGAGTACAGATTGACGAGCAAAGCAAGACGTGAATGTTGGTCGAGTACAAGAGAGGTTAGGGAACCTATGGGTTAAGGGGCGTGAAGAACACTCCTTCCCTAGGAGGCTAATCCAACTGAGTTTTGAATGAGTCTGAAAATAGCCAAGAGCTGAGAAACCAGAAAGAGTGAAAATAGAGGGGGGTGCCCCGGTCTCTTGCTATGATTAAACGGTCGGGTGGGCTACTGTTGCTTGAGGTCGCGCGCCCCAACCCGAGTACTAGACGCTAAGTCGGATGTATGCATGGATAAGTAAATTGCCTTGAGAATGGATGAAGGAAACCGCACGCAGAAGACTGAAAAGAGATGGCCACCTTCTAACCTCCGAGACAGAAATGGGATCCGTATCCTCGAGGCCCACCCCCTCGGGCGCTAACGTTGAGAATGGAAAGGAATGACCCTAACCAGGCTGTTCGACTTGAGAATGGAAAAGGAATGACCCTAACCAGGCTGTTCGACTTGAAAATGGAAAAGGAATGACCCTAACCAGGCTGTTCGACTTAGGAATGGAAAGGAATGGCCGTAACCAGGCTGTTCGATTTGAGAATGGAAAAGAACGACCCTAACCAGGTTGTTCGGAAATGGTCCCTGACAAGGGTTATTTCTTTTGAAATAGGCAATGGGGTCCCCTGCATAATTGATTGAGAAAGATTGATTGTGAATGAGCTGGAATGAGCAATGTGAGACGAAAAAGGCTGGTGGGCCGGTCCTTGAAATACCCATGAGGATGGATGAAAGAGAATGATGCCTTGGAAAGAAAAGGGCAGGATAAAGAAGGTTGAGCCTTAAGTCAAGAAGGGCATGGACCGTTGGGACGGTCATAAGGAATGGATATTGGGGAATGTGAAAGTTGAGAATTGAAGGTGGACCGACGGGCGGACCATTGAAAGACGGCCATTGAGAAAGCGACCGCCAGAGCGGCCACAAAGGGTGACCTTGTTGATGAGAGGCTGTCGGACCAGCCATGAGAATCAACGGTGAGAAAGGACTGGAAATAACATTAGATTGAGTGATTGAGGATTGGATATTGCATTGCATAGTCGGGCAATTTGATGAAAGGTCGTCGGGCCGACCATGAAAATAACAAGAGATTGAGTTTTCCTTTCTCTCTAGTCTAAGGTCTCAACGTAAGGGGGATAGCGATGCATGCACCGCAACCCCAGGACCTCTACCCGCCAAGGGAAAGTCTCAGCGCGACCTATTCCTCATAAGGAAGGATAAGGGTTGAAGGACCAAGGCATCTTTCTCTTTGATCGATGTTGGCCGTCCGGAACTAACTCCGACAACGGGCTCTAATCGGGAAGTTCAAACTGCGCCTCATGTTGAGGACCTAAACGTCAAGGGCGTGGAGCCAAACGGACGAGAGAGCCATTTTTTTCCTAAGTCTCATTTTTTCTCCTCAATCACACGCCATGTCGTAGAGGGGCGGCGCGGCTGTTTGCAATGGACCAAGGCTGCTCGCATTAAGTTGAGCGACACTGTTCAGAGGGAGGGGTCGGGAGTGGTACCGGGTGGAAGCCGCAACCACCACAGGGCGAGTGACACCGCCCTGCAGGATCATTACAACCGTTCCGGGACTAACCGCGAGGTCTTCGTAACAGCACTCGCAGACTAATTGAGAGCCCCAACTCTCTTGAAAGGAAGAGGCCGGATCCAAGAAAATACCACTTGGGAGGAACGACTCGCGAGGGAGCCACTTGTGGTATGATGGGGTCCTGGGAGGCGTGGATTGGACCCGCCTAACAGATGCGAGGAGACACCTCAATGATAATGCCCATCTTCAGAGAAGTGGCCGCCGGACTAGAGTACGGGATGATGTGAGTTATCAGCAGGGGGAGGACTGATCACCCTTCCTTTTTGGGGCTGATGGGCCGGCATCCGTCTACTCAGTTGGCAAGGCAAGGTCTGCGTATCTCCAAGTGACAACCAGTTGTGTGATGGGGACATCGCATTTTGAGTAGGGGGAAGGTGTGTGATCTACCAATGAGAAAGCGTGCAAAAGAGAAGGTTACCATGAGCTGAAGAAATTGTGTAATTGACTTTGCGCAAGCTTGAGAGAAGGTCTGACAAGATGTCCGGAAGAAAAATACTTGTGTAATTGACTTTGCGCAGGCTTGAGAAAAGACCTGGCAAAATGTCCAGAAGAAAAATACTTGTGTAATTGACTTTGTGCAGGCTTGAGAAAAGGCCTGGCAAGATGTCCAGAAGAGAAATGAATGAGTAATTGACTTTGCATGGGTTTGAGAAAAGGTCTGGCAAGATGTCCAGAAGAGAAATGCTTGTGTAATTAGCGTTGCGCAGGCTTGAGAAAAGGTCTGGCAAAATGTCCAGAAGAGAAATGAGTGAGTAATTGACGTTGCGTGGGCTTGAGAAAAGGCCTGGCAATGTCCAGAAGAGAAATGCTTGTGTAATTGACTTTGCGTGGGCTTGAGAAAAGGTCTGGCAAGATGTCCAGAAGAGAAAAACATGAGTAATTGGTTTTGCGTGGGCTTGAGGAAAGGCCTGGCAAGATGCCCAGAAGAGAGATATATGTGTAATTGACTTTGCGTGGGCTTGAGAAAAGGTCTGGCAAGATGTCTAAAAGAGAAAGGCATGTGTAATTCGTTTTGCGTAGGCTTGAGGAAAGGTCTGGCAAGATGCCTAAAAGAGAGATATATGTGTAATTGACTTGGCATGAGCTTGAAAAAGGCCTGACAAGATGTCCAGAAGAAAGATGCATATGAAATGGACTAAGTAACGCGCATGTGAAATTAATTAAGCTTGGGTAGAAGAAAGGTCGAATGAGGGGGACATGCATGTGAAATTGGCAGGACTAGAGAAAAATCGGCCAGAATAAATCGGGAAGAAAACATGTGAATTTGGTTGAGCATGAGATTGAAGAAAGGATGATGGGAGGCATGGATTGCACGGGCCGAAGAGCCGAGTAGAAGAGGCATTAAGGGCAACTGAAGCTAGAAAAGGGACCTGGTTGGCACGGGATGGAAGAAGGATCAGCCAGAGGGCACTTGGGATGACAAGGCTCGGGGGAGAAGCAGGGGCAACAAGAAAGGAAAGTTGAGAGGAGGCTTGATGTACTTCAGGTAATGAATGAGACAAGGGAAGGTTTGATGTACTTCGGATGATGAATGAAACGAAAAGGGGTTTGATGTTCTAAGAGTGATGAATGAGACGAAAAGGGACCTGATGTTCTAAGAGTGATGAATGAGACATGAGAAGCCTGAAGGACAAAGAAAGTCTGACCCTACACACCTCTCCCCGCTCCAAGGACGGAAGCTAGAAGAAATTCAAGAAAGGAACAAGAAAAGACAAAACGGACCGTGGCAAACTAATCACCTGTGACATTCCGTTCTCCTCTCCCGTCTATCCTTCCAAAAAACCACTTACAAGAGATCGGTGCGCGATGAGGACATTGCGAATGAGTGGGGGGAATGTGTCAGGACTAGTGGGTCCCGAAGAACTTCCCATCACTCGAGAGACTAAATATAGACAAATTGCGCACAATAGAGAAATCTGGAGTGAGGAGGCAGGAGAGAGAAAAGACAAAGGATTAGGCCACGGGAGGGAGTGATGCCCTGGGGTGATAACCACAGGAGGAGAGAACCAGCGACGGCAAGCGAGTAAGCGCAAGAACAGAGGCACATAGAACATAGCAAGAGGCCGGGAGGGCCGTTGGAATTCAACAAGACTAAGGCCAAAGAGACCCTTGAACCAGCAAATGCAGCACGACAGCGACGAGAGAATGAGAAAGTCGAGAGATGGATGGCCTCGGAGGCCATGGGAAGCTAAAGAATAAGGGCCCAACATGGGGGCCACCTACGGGAGCCTCGGGTTAGAGGCCCCGCGACCAAAGAAACCGGCGTGCGCAAGGCGCAAGAAAGACAAGGGAGAGGGGTCACCGTGGGGTGGCAAAGCGCCCAAGGGACGTGGGACACCTTGGGGAAAGGCACCCGGGGCCACATGGGACTAAGTAAAAATAATGGCATCCGGGGCAAAATGTGCCGGGGACCACCGGCGGGACTAAGTGTTGGGGACCACCCGCGGGACTAAGTGTCGGGGACCACCGGCGGGACTAAGTGTCGGGGACTACCGACGGGACGAATGACGGGGACATGTGAAAGTCCCAAGAAGAAACGGCGGCACCGCATGAGGGAAAATAATAAAGGCAAGGTGCACCATCAAGATCGAGATCTTGACGGCCAAGAATATTAGCATCACTAGTGCAAGCACTAGCGGTAGCAAACGGGAAGGCCGGAAAAAAAAGAAAAAGTAAAGAAACTTGAAGTGGGAGGCATGGGAGCAATCCGAAAAATCTCGGATCAGCCTCCCTCAAGAAAATGGATTCAAAAGAGACCCGATGCGAAAAATAGGCCTCGGGGAAAAAATCGGAGTAGGAGGGGCCACTGTGAGAGAAAGATAGAGGGAAAAGGAAGCTCCCATGGGCATGGGAAGGCCACTATTGCAGTCCGAGATATAACGGACTGCACCTTGGGCATAGGAAGGGTCAAAACTAAGAGGGGCAAGGGGGCTACGAGACCCTTAGCATAAAGCTAATCCATGGAAATGACCTTTGCGTTTGAGACTTGGAGTGTAAATGAGAAAATGAAGTGCAATCTTGTCAAGGGAAATGTGATGTTGTGTGTGCATGCATGTAAAGGCCCCGAAAAGACTAAGGGGCCTGCGTCAATAAGGTTGAATGAGATGTATAAGACCCAATGGGTGCGTAGAGGCGAGGGGGAGGACGACATCGCCGCACCCCGATGACGCCGTACGATCACAATGCTTAGGGAAATGGTGCGCGGCCTAAGGATGACGCTTAGCCTGCGCACAAGAGAAGAAAACTCTCAAAGAACCCCTGGACTGCCTGCGTATTGGAATGAGCAATTGCTTGAGAACACAACCAAGAATCGAAAGAAAAAAATTAGCGTTGCCGAATGACCAGCGAGACTGCCACCCGGCGTGAGGGCTGAGCTACATCCCCAATGTCAAAGGTCTCTCGCACGATGTTCCACCCCCATTCATCTCAAAGCACTAGGTGGGGGTGACCCTGGGACGAATGGCCCACACCCTGAGCATGAGCGTGGGCGGACCGAGCCAACTGGGACCCGTAGTGGGGTCGGCTAAGGCTCGAAAGTCTACCGGGTGTTTGGCCCTACACCGGTCCCTGCATCACTCTGGGCTGTGGACCCAGTGGTGCAGGCTGCTGCACTAACCGCTGGGGCTGTGTGCCCTGCGGCTGTACATGCTACGAAACAGCAGGTTGCACGCTTACTG